TCGAGAGTGAGGAAGAAAGGGAGGTCGGTGACCGTCTGATCGAAGAAGCAATGGGTCTTGTCATCCCCTAGGGTAACAAAGATGGGAGTCGGAGACCCTGTCGTGGGTAAGCGGGCTTCTTTCACCACACGTGGGTGAATGAAGTCGCCCTGAGAACCGAAATCCCACAACGTTGAGTACACCCTCGTGGAGGTCCCCAGTCGTACTGAAATGATCGGGAGGGTGCGATCAGGGTCAGAGAGGATGGTGAGAAGGCGACGGAGTGCAACGACATGGAGGGTGAGTCGCTCCTGACGAGCCTGGAGCATGCTCAAGTCTAGAAGAGAGGACACAACGTCCTCGCGAGTCGCAAGTTGCTTGCTGCAACGGGCTGAGCGAATGGCTCGACGCGTCGGTAGTCGCGGAGGGGTAGGAGGCGAGACGGTGGTCTGCGGAGGCGCAGACGGTACTGCGACAGAGGGTTGAGTACACTTTGTCAGGTCCTGCGATACCTCAGCTCCTGTAGAGAGAGGGGCGAACCGCGACGGAGATGTCGGGAAGGCAGCTACTAAGGAGGGCGCAGATGTACACTGCACCGTGGCTAGGAGGCGCCGCGGGGATGCGAGGTGCCGGGGGGGGACTGAGAACGACGCTGACGGGAAAGGTCAGCGTAGTGGCAGTCGAGGGCGGCGGTGTAAGGGCACCGCGAGGAGGTATGACCGTCCTGGCGGCATCGCAAACACCCACGCCGGCCCAAAAAGGCTGCGCGCTCCTCTACGAAAAGAACACTGCGAGGAGGGACAAAGCCCTGAGGGAGGTCCTGCTAAGGGACCTCGGGGGGCGACGCGCCATCGTGACCAGAGGCTGCGTGCCCGGGAGAGGGTGGAGAGGATGAGCTGCAGGTGCTCGGCCATAGGGAGAGTAGAGTCCTCCAGGTGGTAGTGGACGGCCTCGCCGAGGTCGAGGTCGTCGTTATGGTCACCCTCAGCGACAGCGGGGCAACAGCGTCCTGCTCACCATACTCGAGCGCGCTGAAGCGGCGCGAGAAGTGGCGGTCCTGATGCACGGAACGGCGGGGGCGGCCGCAGAAGGGGGAGCGGCGCTGGGAAGTGTCGTGAGAGGAGGAGGGGGCGTAGCCAGTACGCTGAGGCTGGGAGGAGGAAGCGGGGTGAAGACGGGCCCGCATCCGCTGATGGGTCCTGGCGGCCTCATAGGCCTGCGGGGCCGATGTAAACTCGTACCGCCATAACTCGAAGCGGTACTCAAGGGGAAGGCTGGCCAAGAAACGGTCGATGAGAGCAGCCTCAGGGAGGAATACCACATCACAAATGAGGCGGGCGTTCTGAAAGACCTGGATGTGGTGATCCAGGCCGGCAGTGCCACCAGAGTCGGACCAGCGTGTGCTGACGACGTGCTCGAAGGCGTCAGTGACGTCACGTCGGGCTACGAAGTGGTCCTCGAGGAACGCCTGAAAATCCATGAAGGTTAGGGTCCGATCCTCACGAAGGGAGTGCGGGTAGAAATCCTCCCAGGCGTCGAAAGGACCACCATGCAGGCGCGTGGAATGGTGACCCGCCCACGTGTCGGGTGGGGCGCCCATGAGCTGGAGCTTGCGGGTGGCAGACTGCAGCCAACGAGACACTCGTATCCGTGTACCGTCGTACAAGGCAATGTCCGCCAAGCGGACGAGTGGTGCGCCACCGTTTTGGCGACGAGGGGATCGAGGAGCAGAGGCCTGTGCTACGGCTGAGTAAGTCGGCGCAGGTCTTGGAGAAAAGGGGCGCAACTGATTGTACGCTCGGGTCGCATGGGGGAGCGGCGGGGGCAACMGCGGYAGGCTGCGAGGGAGCTGCGGTAGAAGAGGTCGCAGCAACCGAGGGAATTGGAAGAAGGTAGGATGGGGATGGATAAGGTGCAGGGCGAGGGAAGCGAGCCTGCATGGAAAGAAGAGGAGAGGAAGAAGGGGGTGCACCCGAAGGCGTGGCCACCTGTGAGGGTAGGGGTGGCTGAAGGCATAAGAGGGCGAGGTCGACCCGGGTCTGGGCAAGCTCGTCCTCGAGATGTCGAACGTAGATCGAGTGAGGAGTGGCAGGAGGAAGAGTGGGGGAAGTGGACGCACGAGCGGCGCGAGGCATCCCACAGGGGGGAGAACCAGGTGGCATTACGGTAGTGCGAACGGGAGGGAGAAGCGGGGCACTCGGAAAAGTTGAGACCATGGCAGCGGGTTGTGGTCCCGTGGCCGTAGTGACCGGAATCTGGGCGGGTGCGCCCGTAGAGTGAGGGAGGGCCTGGCCCGTGGCGGCCGTCGCGCTAGGAGCATGGACGGTCACCAGGATGGTCGGGTCGGGGGCGGCAGAGGAGGAAGCTCCGTTGTGGCCACCATGTCAGAGGACGGGGGACCCGGAATTGGAGCCAGGAGAAGAGAGAGAGGGGGGAGAGGAAGGACGACCAGCGTCTTGGAGTTGCCGCAGGCTAGCGGCAAGAGTCGCCACTTGCGCCTGTAAGGGCGCAAGGAGGGAGGTGATGAGGGTGTGCAGATCCCCTTGGGGCTGATGACCCTGGTCCGTCGGCATGGGTATGGAGCCCGGTGCCAAGGTCGTTGCCGCGTTGGCGGCTTGAGACACGCCGTCGGCCACGGGGAGGTGACGAACTGGACTGGAGGGGGTCAGAGGAGGTCCACGTGAGCGGAGGGTGTAGGGGGGGGTCCGCGGTAGAAAGCGATGGGCGGTGCTAGTGAGTTGAGCGCGGGCGCCCGCAAAGGGGGAAGGGTGGTTTGGGTCCAGGGTGCCCGAATGGAAAAGGGGAGTAGGGGGGTTAGGAAAACCCTAAACCCTAGAGAAAACCCTAAGAAAACCCTAACCGGGGTTTGAGTGGTTAGGGTAGGGTACCAGTGACCTAATCAAGAAAATAAAATAGTAAGCATGGGAGGGAGGCGGGAGGAAAAGATAAATAAACAGTGAAATTTTGAGAGAAATGTGAAAATAAATAAATAATAAAAATAAGTAAATAAATAAGTAAACAAAATGTGAGGAGAGAAATAATATTTATTTTGTTGGAAATTTCGACAGCATTTCCCTACCCCCCATGGGGTCAAGAATGTGCCAAGGGAAAAGAGAGACCAAGATAAGCACACTAAGTTTCAAAATGCCAAAAATTAAAAATTTCAGAAAAAAAATAAAGAAATAAGAAAGAGATAAATTAAGAAATAAATAAATAAGGAGATGAGGAGGTGGAGAAATTGCGGCAGCATTTCGTTAACCCCATGGTGTTGAAGTGTGCCGTCAAGAAGAAAGGCTAAGTAAAATGAAAAGATTTTGCCAGCACTTCGCTACCCCCAAGGGGTCAAAATGTGCTGAAAAAAACTAAGTGAAAGAAAAAACAGAAAATTTTGGCAGCACTTCGGTACCCCCACGGGGTCGGAATGTGTGCCGAAAGCAAGAATGACCAACTCCTAATCAGATTTAAGGGTGCCGCAAAGAAATTTGAATTTTCAGAATAAATAAGAAGAAAATGAAATAAATCAGAAAATGAGAAAAGAAGGTGGGGACTGAGATAATTCGAATTTTTGGAAAAAGGAGGAAGTATAAATCAAAAGAAAGATAAAAAGAAGAAAAACAGAAAATTTCGAAGTTGGGGGGAAGGGGAATGAAAAAGTGGAGGAGAAAGGGGAGAAATAGGTGAGAGAGAGAAAAAGAGTGAAGGGGGAGATGGGGGAAGTGATGGGGTTGTAGTTGGGGGAGAGAGGGGTGAGAGAATGGGAGAGAAAGGGATGGGAAAGGTGGGGAGGGATCAAGAAGGAAAGAGAAAAGAGGAGAAAGAAAAGAAAAGAAATGAATAAAATAGGGTAAAATAGTGGATGGTGGGAGAAAAGGTGGGGTGGGGAGAGGGGTATGAGTAGTGAGAGTGATTAGAAGGAAGTGGGTTAGTAGGGAGAGGGAAGAGAGAGGTGATACCTGGCCCTTGGTGTTTCCAAGGGCACAAGGTATACCAAGCCAGCTGGAGGAGAGAGGGGGCTGAGATCTTGATCAGCCCCTAGCAGCAGTAGTGCAGATCTGCAGATCCAGGGTATGCTGTGTGAGCAGACCCTCACCAGTGTAGAGCAGCCCCCTGAGCAGGGGGGTCTTCAGTTCCACAGCAAGCTGCCACGTGGCACTGCAGATGGCCACGTGCGCAGGCGGCAGCAGTCATCGGGGGGGAAAGGGGG